CTAAATTAAAAAAGCACAGAAGCTGGTAAACCTTCAATTAAAAGGAAGATCATAGATCAATTCAGAGAAATAACAATAAAATAAATCGGAAACAGCTTTTTATAGCGGTTTACCACTCAGTACAATTTATCCGCAACCTTCATGTCACTTGCTAAAAATAGTTTAGAAAACATACTGTCGTTGTGCTATTCGCGGATTTCGAGAGCAAAATACAACAAACCTTCTTCCGAAGTTGATCATTGAATTAACCCTTTAAGTTCGAGATGACAATGTTTCTTCTCTTCGATGACTTTCTCGCGCTGAGTGCGTAGGTCTTGAAGTTCTTCGTGCGACTTCTCCTTATCGACCAGGGCAGCCGACTTGTTAATTCTGCCCCCAGACGACAACATCTGCTTTTCAAGTGATTTCTACAAGCAAAGAATTAAGGAAATTTAAAAACAAATAAAAAGTAAGAAAAAACGATTTTACACCTGCGATAACAACAACGACAAGATATCTCTCAATGAAAGGGACTCATTCAAAATCGGCTTAATCAGCAAAGTGCAACAAGTGTTACCAGTTTCTCTCCAGTCTCTCGAATTCTTGAACCAAACTCATCCATTTGAAGCTGAAATATCTTACTGTTGGGCGGTTTAAGACTTTCTGATGCATTTTCGTCAACAGCTGTACAGGGATAAACAACAGTTCGTAAGTTACTCGAGATGACCGAAATCACGCCAAATACTTCAAAGTACCTTGGCGGGTTTTCGAATCACTGTTAATCGAATCATTCAAAGGCGACTCTATCTGTCCATCCTCCTCCTCCTCTCCGCTATTTTCATTGTTCATTTCGCGTCCTCAGCAATGTTGGGAGACTCATCGAAGAGTGCTATCATAAATTTTCGTGTCACATTTTAGCGATTATCAGCACCAAAATAAATTCATCCGACCGAAAACCATGAAACAAAGAGGCTTCAAACACGTACCTTTCTCCGCTTGCATCATGGTTATAAAAAAAAAAGGGCAAGCCGGGGGAGAAGCACACTACTCCCTAACTAGGGTCGGGTTGGGGAGTCTTTAGTTACTTTTTTTTTTCAGTTATTTTAATTTCATAACTTCATTTATTTTTATCTATATGTTCCTTAACTCAAATGCCTGGTTATGGGTTCTTTTGAGAAGCTGAAAATTTTGGAACTTATCGTTTTATAAACCAGTGTAATTAAAAACTCTTCCGGCGAAGAATCAAGTTTTTATTGCAACAAGCACATATTAATCGATAAAATTGATGACGGCAGATTGTTTTGCAAATCGTAAAAGAGGAGAGTCAGAACAACTCACGGTCTGGTTAATATGAGCATCGATCCTACACGCCAAATGTTTGAAGCGTTTAAAAGAGTTTTTATGTGTCTGACTCACGTCACCGAACGGTACCCTTTTTCCCTCTCCCAAACAAACAAAATTAAATAAAAATAAAAAGGAAAGGAAAAGGAGAAGAACAATGCACCCGGCTCTCCGTACTCAACGTCTAGTCTCGTAACCATATCCTACCGATTAACTCTAACTGAAATGAAGGATCGTTACAACCGCTTAGCCGTGGAGGTCTGGGTACAAGGCTACCAGTGTCCAGTAAAAGTGATGATGACATGTGTTTGGATCACTCCAGTTTAGTTTTCTCTACTACAATCGTCCTATGAAGGAAAGAAAAAAAAAGACACACAAAAAAAAAATAACAAAAAAAAACAAATTGAAGTCGGTCATTTTAAAAGCATCAAAGCATTCTCTTCGTTTCGGCTAGATCGTTTTTTTGTTTGTTTGTCAACATTATCAAAAATTGAAAGGTATGACAGCTTGAGCAGAGGAGGCCACGATGTCGTCAAAATGAATCTCTGTCCAACAGACATCTTTATATGGTGGACAAGGACACTAAAACTGAGATCTTTATTGCACAATGCCTGGTTTAAGAGCGTTAACAAAAGTTCTATGCATTAACATGTTGTTAATGAGGATGAGGAGACAAGAAATCTAAGTTTCGTTTCCATTCGATTGCGGTTTATGAAGGCTTCTCTTTTTGTGACTTACAGAATGTTGAGTTCGGTCATTTCCGAGTGTAACAAGAAAGAACCAAGGAAGAATAGAAGAGACTATTACAGTTCTTGATATGGACCTAGGACTATTCTCTTTTCCGTGACGTTTCGGAAAATGTTCGGAAAGTGTTCGGAAAGCTCTTATTTCGCACGCGACTTAAAGGCGGAAGTTGCGTGTAAAGATCCAGCGTACGAGTGATTCTCTTTTCTGCACTTCACATTTGTCTATTGAAAAAGCCTTGAGATGGAAAGAGGATCCTTGAATGCATTCGACGCGAATTCTGTGATAGCTAAAGGGAAAACTAAAGACCTCGAGGGCGGAGCATCTTGTAGCGCAGAAGTAATCGTGGATCAGCGTATTGACGTTATGTTTATCTGTGGCGAGTGGGGCTCTTCGAAAGGTGGATTATCAACGTTTAACAGGGAGCTTGCTTTGAATCTAGCGAAGTATTCGAAAGAAAGAATCAGGGTTCACTGCTTTGTTTGCCAAAGCACAGAAGAAGAACGACAAGATGCGAGCAGCAATGGAATCCATTTAATCAGAGCACAGCGCCCTCCTGGATCTAGTGATCCGCTTGAATGGATTCGATTTCCACC